CCAGGATGGTCTCGATCTCCTGACCTCGTGATCCGCCCGTCTCGGCCTCCCAAAGTGCTGGGATTACAGGCTTGAGCCACCGCGCCCGGCCAACTGTGTTGATTCTTTATGTGGGTTTTGGAAACTTTGAATTTTTGACCTATAGTTAATTTTAATTAAAAATGTGTTACTAAAAAAAGTTGTGCCACTGTGTTTTGAGCTTACATAGACCTTTTGCTAACATTCCCATTCTTCAGCCGAGAGCTTCTTCGGAGCTACACTCCCAACACTATCTGAAAAGCTCTTGATCTGGCTGACTTCCCTGAACATAGTAAGGAGACATGTCTTTAGCTATATTTTAACTCTTTGGCTAGTTTGGATTGTTTAAGCTCAGATTAAAATAACTTCTTTATTCAGTTAAAGTTGAATGACACAATATACTTTGTCTTTTCTTCTACTTTTCAGGTCAGGAATAAATTAGATGGTCAGTATTATGCAATAAAAAAGATCCTGATTAAGGGTGCAACTAAAACAGATTGCATGAAGGTATGATTTTTAAAAATTACTTATTTTGAATAATTGTGTATTTAGTTCTTTTTGAAAGAGTTATACATGTATGTGTGTATATTTGGCAAAAATAGGCAGTGTGGATTTCCAGTTTACTAGGAATGGGGTTACAGTAAAGTACCAAAATTAAATTATTATTATTATTATTTGAGATGGAGTTTCGCTCTTTTGCCCAGGTTGGAGTGAAGTGGTGTGATCTTGGCTCGCTGCAACCTCCGCCCCCCTGGGTTCAAGGATTCTCCTGCCTCCCAAGTAGCTGAGATTATAGGTGCCTGCCACCATGCCTGTTTAATTTGTGTGTGTGTGTATATATATATATATATTTAATTTTTAAAATATATTAGTTTCTTAAAATAAATGATTGATATATAATATAGCTAGTTATGAAAATACAGGAGCCCAGTTCCAGTTCAGTCTTCTCCCTGACATGCTGTGTGGTTCTGGATGAGTTGCCCAGTCCTCTGAGCCATTTCTGTCACCTGCCCTGAAACAGTAGTGACAGTAGTGATTTTACTTACCTTGGAGGACTAGGGTAGGAATCAAAAGAGAGAATGGTGATAAGTGTGCCATACAAAGTGTAAAGTACTATATAAATATGTTATTTAGTTGCTATAACAATTGCCATTTGTCTCTCAAAAATATTTCCATTATGTTGGCCAGGTGCAGTGGCTCACGCCTGCAATCCCAGCACTTTGGGAGGCCGAGGCAGGCAGATCACTTGAGGCCAGGAGTGTGAGACCAGCCTGGCCAACATGGCGCAACCATGTCTCTACTAAAAACACAAAAATTAGCCGGGTGTGGTAGTGCATGCTTGTAATCCCAGCTACTCGGGAGGCTGAGGCACGAGAATGACCTGAACCCAGCAAGACTTGAACCCAGCAAGCAGAGGTTGCAGTGAGCCAAGACAGCACCACTTCACTCCAGCCTGGGCAATAGAGCGAGACTCTGTCTCAAAAAAAAAAAAAAAATTCCATTATTTTAACATAATGTAGATGCCTTGTACAGAGGAGTTTTCATTACAGATGCTCCTCCATCTTATGATGGGATTATGTCCTGATAAACCCATCATAAGTTGAAAATATTGTAAATTGGAGACAGAGTTTTGCTGCGTCGCCCAGGCTGGAGTGCAGTGGCACGATCTTGGCTCACTGCAGGCTCCGCCTCCCGGGTTCACGCCATGGAGATGTATTTTAATATGCATAACCTACCAAACTTTGTAGCTTACCCTGCCTACCTTAAATGTGCTCCAAACACTTACATCACTCATTAGTTGGACAGAATCATCTAGCACAAAGCCTATTTTATAATAAAATACCACATATCTCATGCACCGCATATTGCAAGCCAGGGAAAAGATCAAAATTCAAAGTATGTCAAAAATTGTGATGTCTTCACACCATTGTAAGTCAGGGGCCGTCTGTATTTTGCTCTGGAAGAAGAAGTATTGCATAAACATTTAACAAGTTATCAGCGAAAGGCAGATCTAATTGCATTTCTTTTCTAGGTCCTACGGGAAGTGAAGGTGCTCGCAGGTCTTCAGCACCCCAATATCGTTGGCTATCACACTGCGTGGATAGAACATGTTCACGTGATTCAGCCACGAGGTAAGCCGTTTTTGATGACGTGGTAGTTGAAGCATTGGCACACTTCAGCCTGTGGACTAAATCTGGCCTGCCCTTGTTTTTGTACATACCACAAGGTGAGAATGGTTTTTACATTTATTTTTATTTTTATTTTTTTTGAGATGGAGTCTCGCTCTGTTGCCCATGCTGGAGTGCAGTGGCATGATCTCGGCTCACTGCAACCTCTGCCTCCCGGGTTCATGCCATTCTTCTGCCTCAGCCTCCTGAATAGCTGGGGCTACAGGCGCCCGCCACCACACTTGGCTAATTTTTTTTTTTTTTTTTTGTAGTTTTTAGTAGAAATGGGTTTCACTGTGTTGGCCAGGATGATCTCAATCTCCTGACCTCGTGATCTGCCTGCCTCAGCCTCCCAAAGTGCTGAGGTTACAGGTGTGAGCCACCGCACCCAGCCAGTTTTTATATTTTTAAATATTTGAACAAAATCAAAAGATTTTGTGAAATTAATTTCTTTTTTTGAGACAGAGTCTTGCTCTGTCACCCAGGCTGGAGTGTAGTGGCGCGATCTTTGCTCACTGCAACCTCCACCTCCTGGGCTTAAGTGATTATTCTGCCTCAGCCTCCCGAGTAGCTGGGATTATATGTGTGCGCCACCATGCCTGGCTAATTTTTGTATTTTTAGTAGAGACGGGGTTTCACCATGTTGCCCAAGCTGGTCTTGAACTCCTCACCTCGAGTGATCCATGTGCCTCGGCCTCCCAAAGTGCTGGGACTATAGGCATGAGCCTCTGTGCCTGGCCCAAAATTTAAATGTCAATAAATAAAGCTTATTATAACACAGGCTCATTCATTTCTATATTGTCTATGGTTGCTTTTTACATTTATATTTAGCCAGGTGCGGTGGCTTATGCCTGTATTCCCAACACTTTGGGAGGCCAAGGCAGGCGGATCACAAGGTCAGGAGTTCGAGACCATCCTGGCCAATATGGTGAAACCCCATCTCTAATAAAAATACAAAAATGAGCAGGACATGGCGGTGAGGACCTGTAGTCCCAGCTACTCAGGAGGCTGAGGCAGGAGAATCACTCGAACCCGGGAGGTGGAGGTTGCAGTGAGCTGAGATCATGCCACTACACTCCACCCTGGGCGACAGAGCGAGATTCTGTCTCAAGAAAAAAAAAAAAAAATTAATTTTGTTTTAAAAATAGAGATCAGGAATCTCACTGTATTGTGCATGCTGTTGTTAAACACCTGAGCTCAAGTGATCCTCGAGCCTTGGCCTCCCAAAGAGTTGGGATTACGGGCATGAGTCACTAGGCCTATGGCTGCTTTTATACCATAACAGAATTGATCAGTTACAGCAGGGTCCCAGAGGGCCCTAAAACCTAAAATATTTACTATCCAGCCCTCGGTAATGTTTGCCGACCCCTAATGTAGTTGCATGGCTTTGTTTTGATGGTTCCTAACACGCGCCATTTGAATAAACTTTTTGTATTTTACCAGAAGGTCATGACAGTTTTAGACTTATAGTCTCATTTGACACAGTTTGTATATTTTAACTGAGTCTTTGACTACAAATTGAAAAAACTGGGCTGTTTGAAGCTGATTGTTTGTTTTTGTGCAGCAGACAGAGCTGCCATTGAGTTGCCAACTCTGGAAGTGCTCTCCGACCAGGAAGAGGACAGGTATGTGAATGGGTGTGTCCTGTTATATATTAGGACATTACCTCTTGTCACCTGCATTGGGTTTTGTGTGTATGACACAGTCTCGCTCTGTTGCCCAGACTAGATTGCAGTGGCGCAATCTCGGCTCACTGCAGCCTCCGCCTCCTGTGTTCCAGCGATTCTCCTGCCTCAGCTTCCCGAGTAGCTGGGACTATAGGCGCCCACCAGCACATCTGGTTAATTTTTTGTATTTTTAGTAGACACAGGGTTTCACCATGTTAGCCAGGGTGGTCTCGATCTCCTGACCTTGTGATGCGCCTGCCTCGGCCTCCCAAAGTGCTGGGATTACAGGTGTGAACCATCGCACCTGGCCTGCATTGAGCTATCTTTGTCTTTTGCTACAAGGACCTCAGGAGGAGTGTTTTCGACTTTGCTTATTTTCATTACAAAATGTTAAATTATTTCTTCCTTTCAGATATTTCCTGTCAGTGTTTTTTTTTTTTTTTTTAAATGGATTCTTGCTCTATTGCCCAGGCTGGAGTACAGTGACATGGTCTCAGCTCACTGCAACCTCTGCCTCCCAGGTTCAAGCGATCCTCCTGACTTAGCCTCCCCAGTAGTTGGGATTATAGACCTGCACCACTATGCCTGGCTAAGTTTTGTAGTTTTAGTAGAGACGGGGTTTCACCGTATTGGCCAGGCTGGTCTCGAACTCCTGAACTCAGGTCATCTGCCTGCCTTGGCCTCCCAAAGTGCTGGGATTACCGGTGTGAGCCACTGTGCCTGGCCTATTTTTTATTATTTTTGTTGAGACAGGGTCTCGCTCTTTTGCCTAGGCTGGAGTGCAGTGGTATGATCTCAACTCACTGCAACCTCCAATTCCTAGACTCAAGCAATCCTCCCATCTTAGCTGCCTCAGTAGCTGGGATTACAGGTTTGTGCCACCATGTCTGGCTAATTTTTGTATTTTTTGTAGAGATGGGGTTTTGTCATGGTGCTCAGGCTAGCCTCCAACTCCTGGGCTCAAGTGATCTTCCCACCTTGGCCTACCAAAGTGTTGGGATTACAGGCGTGAGCCACTGCCAGACCTGTACGTTGACTTTTTTTTTTTTTTTTTTTTGGGTGGAGTCTTACTCTGTTGGCCAGGCTGGAGTGCAATGGTGCGATCTCGGCTCACTGCAACTTCTGCCTCCCAGGTTCGAGCCATTCTCCTGCCTCAGCCTTCTGAGTAGCTGGGACTATAGGTGCATGCCACCACGCCTGGCCAATTTTTGTATTTTTTAGTAGAGATGGCGTTTCACCATATTGGCCAGGCTGGTCTCGAACTTCTGACCTTGTGATCTGCCTGCCTTGGCCATCCAAAGTGCTGGGATTACAGGTATGTGCCACTGCACTTGGCCAACTTTTGTTTTTTTTTTTTTTGGAGACGGAGTCTCACTTCGTCGCCCAGGCTGGAGTACAGTGGCACGATCTTGGCTCACTGCAACCTCCACCTCCTGGGTTCAAGTCATTTTCCTGCCTCAGCCTTCCCAGTAGCTGGGATTACAGGCGTATGCCACTATACCCAGCTAATTTTTGTATTTTTTAGTTGAGATGGGGTTTTACCGTGTTGGGTAGGCTGGTCTGTAACTCCTGACCTTAAGTGATCCACCCGCCTTGGCCTCCCAAAGTATGGGATTACAGGCATGAGCCCCTGTGCTCAGCCCATTGACTTTTATGTTTACATTTTTTTTTTTTCAGAGAACAATATGATGTTAAAAATGATGAAAGTAGCAGCTCATCCATTGTCTTTGCTGAGCCCACCCCAGAAAAAGGAAAACGCTTTGGAGAATCTGACACTGAAAATCAGAATGACAAGTCAGTGAAGTATACCACCAGTTTAGTCATAAGAGACTCCGGTGAACTTGAGTCAACCCTGGAGCTCCAGGAAAATGACTTGGCTGGTTTGTCTACCAGTTCAATTATGGAACAGCAGCTGCCACTCAGGTGTAATTCCCACCTAGATGATAGTTTCACATCCACCGAAGAATCTTCCGAAGAAAATGTCAACTTTTTGGGTCAGACAGAGGTAGATTACTTTCCTAGACCTTCCTAGTTCGTCCAGTAGTGATTGTATTGAGGACTGTGCAGGTGTGTGGCCTTCTCTCACCCACTCTCACCTCCAGCACTTCTGCCCTGCGTTCGGTCTCTTTTACTGGCCATGTTCCCCTTGCCATGTGACCTTTGTGTTCGGTTCTCCCTTCTTCACTTAGTTAACTCCTCCACATCCCTTTCTGGCCTTCCCCCTGGCCATTTTCAGCTCCAGATCATCTTGAGTGTGTACTCTGGAGTTAGCGGCCTCACTCACACTCTGTTTCTGTTGTATGTTAGCATCATGCTATAAAGATATATTTATGCAAAAAAGATTTTGTAGCATGACTTTAGGTGAGTCCCAGTAGGATTACCAGGTCAGTATTCAGGATACTCTTTTTCATTTTAAAATTGATTTTATTTTAGTTGTAGTTTTCAGGATGCTCTTGTTGAGGGTTATACTGATATAACCCTCTTTCCATGGTCATGCTGCCACCATGCTTTCACCAGTATTTTAAGTAGTAGCATTAAAACCATGAACATTGGGCCGGGTGTGGTGGCTCACACCTATAATCTCAGCAGTTTGGGAGGCCGAGGAGGGCAGATCACCTGAGATCAGGAGTTTGCGACCAGCCTGGCCAACAAGGTGAAACCTTGTCTCTACTAAAAATACAACAATTAGCCAGGCGTGATGGTGTGTGCCTGTAGTTCCAGCTACTCAGGAGGCTGAGGCAGAAGAATCGCTTGAACCTGGGAGGTGGAGGTTGCAGTGAGCCAAGATTGCGCCACTGCACTCTAGCCTGGGTGACAAGAGCACGACTCTGTTTCAAAATAAATAAATAAATAAATAAATAAATAAAACTAAAAACATGAAAATTAACAGGGTCTACATATAATCTGTCTTGTTAGGATTATAAAACTGTGTATACCATCTACATAGACACAGTGCAGAATTAATTCTTGTCCCGGAATATGTGTTTCTGAGCCTGTGTTTTTTTTTTTTTTTGAGACAAAGTTTTGCTCTTGTCACCCAGGCTGGAGTACAGTGGCATGATCTCAGCTCATTGCAACCTCTGCCTCCTGGGTTCAAGCGATTCTCCTGCCTCAGCCTCCCGAGTAGCTGGGATTACAGGCACCCACCACCTTGCCCAGCTAATTTTTTTGTATTTTTAGTAGAGACGGGGTTTCACCATGTTGGCCAGGCTGGTCTTGAACTCCTGACCTCAGGTGATCTGCCCGCCTCAGCCTCCCAGAGTGCTAGGATTACAGGCATAAGCCACTGCACACGACCGAGCCTGTGCATTTATTTTATTTATTTATTTTTTTGGAGACGGAGTCTTGCTCTGTTGCCCAGGCTGGTGTGCAGTAGTGGGATCGCAGCTCACTGCAACCTCCACCTCCCAGGTTCAAGCGCTTCTCCTGCCTCATCCTCCTGAGTAGCTGGGACTACAGGCGCCCACCACCATGCCTGGCTAATTTTTTTGTATTTCTAGTAGAGACGAGGTTTCACTATGTTGATCAGGCCGGTCTCGAACTCCTGACCTCATGATCTGCCCGCCTTGGCCTTCCAAAGTGCTGGGATTACAGGTGTGAGCCACCGCGCCTGGCTGAGTCTGTGCTTTTTTATGAAACATAGAACTTTGAACACTTTCACCTGAATCTGGATGATTTGAGTTTGGGGGACTTTTAATCAGAATTGATTCATTTCTCTGTATTGTATTTGGAAAATTTTGTTAGGTGCCTCAATCAGATGGTATATACAGTGGGCTACAGTAAGCTTAATGTTTGCTTACCTTTTTATTGAATAAGTTATTAGTTGTGTACAATGTGAAGCCAGACAAAGTATATATACTTTGTAGAAATATATAGAGTAGTAGAATATCATACAGCCATTCTTTGTTGCTTTCTCTTAGCTTTAAAAACTGTTTATGTAGCAAGCAGCCCAGTTTCAGGACCAGTTACTCCGGGTCACAGTTGAGAGTTTCTGCCACTGGACTCCTGCCTGACTTCAGCCTGGCCCCCCCTTCTGCTGGTATTACAACACCCTGTTTTAATTATCGCTCTCCTTATCTGTTGCTTTCATTAGACTTTGGCCTTCTTGGGTGGGCCTGTGTCCTCAGCAGTTCTGTCTTGCAAAGGGAAATCCACACAGGTTAAATGACTTCCCTAGAGGCCTACCATCTTGGCCCAGAATAGGCAGATGAGTATTTGTTGGCTAAATGAATAATGTGAGTGAATCATGCAAAGATGGGAGCCGGCACTACCTCCTCTCCTAGGCCCAGTACCACCTGATGCTGCACATCCAGATGCAGCTGTGTGAGCTCTCGCTGTGGGACTGGATAGCCGAGAGAAACAAGCGCAGCCGGGAGTGTGTGGACGAGTCTGCCTGTGAGTACCATCTGGGTCTGCCGGGCCAGGAAATAGACACAGTCACATCTTCCCCATCTCATGTAGGAGTTGCCTTCAGGTGCTTTGTTTTTCTTTTTTATTTATTTTGTTTTATTTTTTTGAGACAGAGCCTTGCTCTGTTTGTTGCTCAGGCAGGAGTGCAGTGGTGCATTCACCGCTCCCTATAGCCTTGGCCTCCCTGGCTCAAGCAATCCTCCTACCTCAGCCTCTTGAGTAGCTGGGACTACAAGGTGCATGCCACTATGTCTGGCTGATTTTGAAAAAAAAAATTTTGTAGAGACAAGGTCTCATTATCCTGCCCAGGCTGGTCTCCAACTCCTGATCTCAAGCAATCCTCCTGTCCCCGCCTCCCAGAGTGCTGAGATTATGGGCGTGAGCCTCTGCGCTTGGCCAGAATTTTTTCTTTACCAATTTTTGTGTGAGTCCTATAAAACCTCTCCATCCTCTAAATGTATGTCATCATATTAATAGATGAATTAATGTACTTACATTTTTGCGGCCATATGCCGTGTCATTTTTGGAAAGTGAGGCATTCCAGATGATTGACTTGTACTCCTGGAGCTAACATATTTTATCTTTTTTCTTTCTCCATTATTTGTAATAATATCTTTAATCATCTGTGGTTAGGATACCAGATTTATTAGCATTAAATCCCAGAATGTCAAGAGTTGAAGGGAACCTAAACTTTATCAAATCTAGTTGCCTGATACCCAAGAATTGTTTAAAAAGTCATCAATACAGGGGAGGGCTCTGAGTGAAGTTAGAGGTACTTTCTTTCTGGTTGACAGAGTCCATCAACTGTTGAGTGCTGCTTTGTGATGGTTTGTTTGCTAGCTGAGGAACCCTTTCTGCTTATTTCTAGGTTTTAGACCATTCTGCCTTGACTTTGTTGAAAATCTGATTGTTCTTAAGTGTCAGATGTTAATGTATTTAGAACATTAATATTTAAATGCAAACGTAATGAGTAAAAAAATTACAGAAATAAAACTATTTTTTTTACTTCAAGGTCCTTATGTTATGGCCAATGTTGCAACAAAAATTTTTCAAGAATTGGTAGAAGGTGTGTTTTACATACATAACATGGGAATTGTGCATCGAGATCTGAAGGTAAGTGGGGGCAATGAAATTATTGAAAGCAGTGATAGCTTTGTATCAGGGATGACTTGACGATGGTACATTGAATTAAATAAGATTACATGTCCTAGTTCATTTGTTTAGGAGGTTATAATTACTGTCAGACAAATCATTGTTCGATAGATCCAGAGTGAGAAAACATTAGGTTGAAATTTTTTTTTTTTTTTGAGACAGCGTCTCGCTGTGTCACCCACGCTGGAGCACAGTGGCGCGATGCCTAGGCTCCAATGTCTAGGCTCACGCGATCCTCCCACCTCAGCCTCCCTGGTAGCTGAGACTACAGGCATGCCCAGCTAATTTTTAAATTTATTTTTTTGAGATGGAGTCTCGCTCTGTTGCCCAGGCTGGAGTGCAGTGGCGCAATTTCGGCTTACTGCAAGCTCTGCCTCCTGGGTTCACACCATTCTCCTGCCTCAGCCTCCTAAGTAGCTGGGACTACAGGCACCCGCCACCACGCCCAGATAATTTTTTGTATTTTTAGTAGAGACAGGGTTTCACTGTGTTAGCCAGGATGGTCTTGATCTCCTGACCTCGTGATTCGCCCGCCTCGGCCTCCCAAAGTGCTGGGATTACAGGCGTGAGCCACCGTGCCTGGCCAATTTTTTTGTAGAGATAGAGTTTTGCTATGTTGCCCAGGTTGATCTTGAACTCCTGGGCTCAAGTGATCCTCCCATCTTGACCTCCCAAAGTGCTGGTATTGCAGGTGTGAGCCACTGCACTTGGTTGTAAGTTAACTTTTTTAAAGTAGTAATTTTTGGGCATTTGAAAATCCTCTGTGGAGTATGAGTACTTTTTTTCAGGTAGTAAGTGTGCTCTGAGTACTGATAAAATCAGTAGTGCTAAATGTTACTTAGTGCTGACAGAAATACTCATTTATTGTTGCAGACTTAGAGGTAAACTCTATAATTACTCATCTTAAAGTTTAACAAAATGGGAAGGTTTTTTTTTTTTTTTGCTGTTTTAAAAAAGTCTGTAGGCCGGGCGCAGTGGCTCAAGCCTATAATCCCAGCACTTTGGGAGGCCGAGGCAGGTGGATCACGAGGTCAGGAGATTGAGACTATCCTGGCTAACATGGTGAAACCCTGTCTCTACTAAAAATACAAAAAAACTAGCTGGGCGTGGTGGCGGGCACCTGTAGTCCCAGCTACTTGGGAGGCTGAGGCAGGAGAATGGTGTAAACCCGGGAGGCGGAGCTTGCAGTGAGCCGAGATCACGCCACTGCACTCCAGCCTGGGAGACACAGCGAGACTCCGTCTAAAAAAAAAAAAAAGTCTGTAATGACTATTTGGTTTTCATCCACAAAAGACTATCAAGAAAGAGAGAAAATACATTTGTGTCTTTGGCTGAAGAGATTGACATTAATTTGCTTACTTTTCAGCCCGAAGTTAAATCATGGAAAGGGCATGAAAAAACAAATCTAGGAACAAAAATGTTAGTAGGCAAATCACTTTATTTTTTGGAAAGTGTTCAAGAACCAGTAGTTTGTACATTTGGGATGTCAAAGGTGATAGGTTAAGCATTTTCTGGGACATGTCTAGCCAGAAAATGCAGTTTGAGTGGCTGGAAGTCCCTGCTGCTGTGAAGCTGGGAGGTCTTGTTTCAGGAGGTATGCCAGGTCGTAACAGCAGTAGACAGAATTCCATATCGTCATTGGGAGAAGTTGCTTCAAGTGCTGTTTGTATTTCTCCCCATAAATATTCCTGATGTTTCTTTTGCAGATACCCTGTAGGGATAAAGGTTTTTGCGATTGCTTTATTAGGGTGTCCCTTAAGAGGCGGAATTCTGGTAGCATGATTCCTGCAGGGAGAATTCCTTGGTTATCGGTCATTCTCAGAGGATAAGTGTGATAAAGTAGCCTGGCCAGAAGTGCCGTATCTCTTACATTGAAACTGCGCTGAAGATACATATAAATTGGAGATTCCCCGTTTCTTGTTAAAATGTTAACATTTGCTTCAAAGTCAAGCAGGAGATTGATGATTGCCTCTCTGCCTCCAAAGCATGCCTCGTGGATGGCTGTTTGGCCTTTGTAGTCCTGGGCGTTGACTTTGGCTCCGTGAGTGAGCAGCAGACGGATGCAGCTGACCCCCGCCCCGAGCAGTCGGCCTGCTTTGCTTGATGCGGTGCACACTGCAAGCTTCAGGGGCGTGTTTCCCGTGGAAGAGACAGCACAGTTGACGTTTGCTCCACAGGCAATGAGCATTTCCATCATCTCCTTATTCAGCATGTTTGCGGCCATGTGAAGGGGTGTCATGCTGGCTTCATTAATAGCATTGACATCGGCACCATTTTGGGCCAAAATGGAGAGAACTGGATAGCAACCATATGCTATGGCCACGTGGAGTGGTGAACGTTTGTTGCTTTCCCCTTGAGCGTTAACTTGAGCCCCATGTGCACACAAGATGCGGAGACACGTGATGGCGTTATTCTGAATGTCTGTCAGGATCCTGTGCATTCTGTTGCCTGGTTTTGCCCACGTGGTGGAAGTGACTGGCCAGTGCAGTAGTATTAACTTGAGTGTGGTGAGGCCTGTTGTGTCCCTAGAATGGGTATTGATTACACGTTACACTGAATTCACAGTAGGAATGGCTCTACGTGAACAGTTAATGCTTAAGAAACCAATATTTATTTGAAGTCAGACCCTTTAGTTACCTTAAGGATGTGTTTCACAATCTGTATTGCTGGGTAGTTTCTCGCTATCCCAGGGTTTTTCGGGGGATGTGGTGGGATGTATCCCTATACGATGGGGCCTAGCTTCATTTTTTATATACATAAATTTTTTTTTTTTGAAAAATTCTTTTCACTTTTCTACAATGTCGTGAAGGAGGCCCAGCTTCTTGGAGCGGCCTATTTTTACCCGTGCTGCCCCCACTAGGGCTGTGTCCCTCCAAGGCTGTATCTTAGTGATTTCTGCAGCCTGGCACCTCACATAGTGCTGGGCTGGGTTACTGGCTTTCCGTGAAATTGTGTGGACTTGAGTGTGATCTGTTATCACCATAGAAGTGAGCCGTGAAGGCCCAAACTCCTGTTGACTCCTTTCTTAGTGGCTCTGTCTCTGCTCTCCTACCTGACATTTTTATGCGTGAGTGTGTAGGGAGCAGAAGAAGTGACAGGGGTTGAATCTGAAGACCTGTGGTCATTCTGAAGTTCATTCCCTGCTCCAAGCCAGGTGGAATGAGCATTTTACAACTTGGCCTTCATCACAGAAGCGCTTCCAAAAATTCCTTTGTTTTGGCAGAGAAAAGGGAAGGTTTATTATGTAAATCTAACTCCTCTGCTGAAATTAGAAAATGATTTTAGTTCACATATATCTGTTCAGCGTGAGGCCCTAGGCTATGGATATGGTGAAACAGCAGGTGGTCCCTACCTTTGTAGGGCTTGCAGTCTAGCAGGGAAGATAGACGTGAAACAGTGAAACAGCTCAGTAAATACTGGAAGCCGGCAGAGTTCTAGAGGGGTGCAGAAGCCTCACATAGCGCATGCGGCATGCAGGGTAGGAAAGGGTCCCCTGAGGAGAATGGGGCGAGTCTGTGATGGTCGAGATGTGGAAGGGACTTCGAGAGGACTTGCAGAGCTGGGGTGGGGTGCTAAGGGAGAGTCTGGGAGCAAGACAGTTCGGGTGGGTTTTTCTGGAGCGTGGTAAGGATTTGGGGCAAGAAGTTCTATTATTATTATTATTGGGATGGAGTCTCGCTCTGTCGCCCACGCTGGAGTGTGGTGGCGTGATTTCGGCTCACTGCAGTTGCCGCCTCATGGGTTCAAGTGATTCTCTTGCCTCAGCCTCCCTAGTAGCTGGGATACAGGCGCCTGCCACCATGCCTGGCAAATTTTTGTATTTTTAGTAGAGATGGGGTTTCACCATGTTGGTCAGGCTGGTCTCGAACTCCTGACCTCATGATCCACCCACCTCGGGGTCCCAAAGTGCTGGGATTACAGGCGTGAGTCACCGCGCCCAGCCTATATACTACTTAATTCTTTCATTCACTCAGATAGTATTACTGGGCACTTGCTAAGTAATTGATTTGGTTGAGGTGGTGGAGATACAGTGGTGCACAAGGTGAACTTGCCTTTCATGCGACTTACCTTCTAGTGGAGAGTAATAAACAAGAAAATCCATTATCAGCCGGGCACGGTGGCTCACGCCTATAATCCCAGCACTTTGGGAGGCTGAGGAGGGTGGATCACGAGGTCAGGAGATCGAGACCATCCTGGCTAACATGGTGAAACCCTGTCTCTACTAAAAATACAAGAAATTAGCCAGGCATGGTGGCGGGCGCCTGTAGTCCCAGCTACTTGGGAGGCTGAGGCAGGAGAATGGCATGAACCCGGGAGGCGGAGCTTGCAGTGAGCCAAGATTGCGCCACTGCACTCCAGCCTGGGTGACAGAGTGAGACTCTGTCTCAAAAAACAAACAAACAAAAAAGAAAATCTATTGTCTACCTATATTTTATTTTTCACACCTAACTTTGGTGGTTAAACTTATTGAGGGCTATGGCAAGGACTTTACTGCATTCCTCACAACACCACCATTGAGCACTTAATCCTCAGAATGTGCATTGATTTGGCAAAATGTTTGTGATGTTGGATTTTTCTCAGTGTTTCAGATTATCTCATCTACTCAGTAAAGACATTGGTTCATTCATAACATGATAATGTGTAGTCTGTCACCTTGAAGAACGAACAAGTCCAAACCTAAGTGGAAAAAAATGTATGAACTGAAAAAAATCTATATCAGGTATATCCTCACTTAGAAATGATTGCCAGTGAAGCTGGGTGCTGTGGCTGAAGGCTGTAATCCCAGCACTTTGGGAGGCCGAGGCAGGTGGATCATTTGAGGCCAGGAGTTCAAGACCAGCCTGGCCAACATGGTGAAACCCTGTCTCTACTAAAAATACAAAAGTTAGCCGTGCATGGTGGTGCATGCCTGTAGTCCCAGCTACTCGGGAGGCTGAGGTGGGAGAAGCTCTTGAACCCAGGAAGTAGAGGTTGCAATGAGGCAAGATTGTGCCACTGCACTCCAGCCTGGGCGAAAGAGCGAGAGCCCTGCCTCAAAAAAAATAAAGAAGAAAAAAAGACATGATTTTCGGTGGAGTTAACTTACCTGACTTCTGGGTCAGCGCCATGCCGTAACAGGCAGAGCAGACTCTGGGCCTTGTGGTACTTGGCAGCCAGATGGATGGGCATGATGGACTCTGTGTGCTTTGGAGGGAAAACAAAACACATTGTGTAGTTAAAAATACTGTTTGTGTTAGCTTGCCATTTCAAAGGCAATACATTTATTTACTGTCTCATTGGCTTACTCTTTTTCTGGTATGTGCATTGAAAGTTTCCTTTTCTACTACCTGTTTTAAATGATCAAAACTCAGTGGATTCCCTACTATAAAATCTGTGTTTTACAGAAACGCACATTTACTGAGGCAACAGAAATAACACTCGAAAGCTCTGGAAAGTTTTGAAAGTTGATTCTTCCAAAGAGCCTGTGGTGTGATATTAATGGTACTTGCTATGAAGTCACTTAGTCCTTAAATTAACCTGCAGGGTGATGGACAAGTAGGTGCCGTGTCGTTGCCAAAAGTCGTATTATCAGCAGTAAAACCTGAATCTTAAGGGTTTTCAAATATAATGCAGCATATGTTCTGTCTATGATTAGTAGAGCTGTTTGTGCCAACTCTCTTTTTTTTTTTTTTTTTGAGACGGAGTCTCGCTCTGTCGCCCAGGCTGGAGTACAGTGGCCGGATCTCAGCTCACTGCAAGCTCCGCCTCCCGGGTTCACGCCGTTCTCCTGCCTCAGCCTCCCGAGTAGCTGGGACTACAGGCGCCCGCCACCTTGCCCGGCTCGTTTTTTGTATTTTTTTTAGTAGAGACGGGGTTTCACCGTGTTAGCCAGGGTGGTCTTGATCTCCTGACCTTGTGATCCGCCCGTCTCGGCCTCCCAAAGTGCTGGGATTACAGGCTTGAGCCACCGCGCCCGGCCGCCAACTCTTAAAATACACACATGTAAGTAGTGGTTTTACACCGTGGCTATAAGATAAGACAGTAGGGTACAAGAGAGGGTGACTTCCTTTTTGAAAAAAAAAATTTAATTGTAAAGGTAATAATCATTGTATAAACATTTAGAAACTGAAAATGTATATATTAAAAGGGAAAAACTATTTTTTGTTTGTTTGTTTGTTTGAGATGGAGTATCGCTCTGTCATCCAGGCTAGAGAGTGCAGTGGTACGATCTCGGCTCACTGCAACCTCTGCCTCCTGAGTTCAAGCAGTTCTCCTGCCTCAGCCATCTGAGTAGCTGAGATTACAGGCTCCTGCCACCGTGCCCGGCTAATTTTTGTATTTTTAGTAGAGACGGGATTTTGCCATGCTGGCCAGGCTGGTCTCAAACTCCTGACCTCAGGTGATCCACCCACCTCGGCCTTCCAAAGTGCTGGGATTACAGGCGTGAACCACCGTGTCTGGCCAAAAAAGGGAAAAACTAATTTGACCACTCGGAGATTAGCACCATGGGTATGTTTGAGAGATGACATGAATGGTCTTCCAGCCACACAGGATCTGGTGTTTTCTCGTGTTGGTTTGTGTATGACATGTGCAGGGGAGGCTTTGAGGGCTTTGGGGAGCACTGCAGTGTGTGTGGAGTGAGCTGGGGTCGTGCCTCGTAAGGGCTGTGAGCTTAGCAGGTTCACCAGCTTTAGATGATGCTCGTTTCTAAGCAGCCTGACTTTTTTCCAGAAGTGACTGAGCAGAAAAGGGGGTACCTGGCTCAGAAGTAATCTGCTGCTGGTGGAGTTGGGCAGAATGGTGATGGGCTGGTTGACAGGGTGATTTCTCAGGAGTACCTCGATCGTAGTGCAGTCTTCTCTCATGATGGCTTCATAGAGTTTCGAGTGAAGTGCTGCGGATGGGCCATCTTCCAGGGACGTGGCACTGTCAACCACCAGGTCTCTGCTTCCTTTCCTGGGTATATTCCCCATGAGAAAAACGTTAAGACTTCAGGGGAAAATGTTGTTATGGAATTGGTCAGTTTCAGTCTCTTTATGATGATTCTTTCAGTTCAGTTCTATAACTGTTCTAGAATTTGTCAAGAATTGTATCTGTGAAGGCAGTCCATCAAAGTTTGGAACCAAGCGTCCAGACTTTGTTCCTTGATCATATAATGTCAAATGTCAGCAGTTTTTAGGGTTTTCTACTCTATCATAAAGACAGATCCAAGCTATTATCTTACACCTTTATTTCTGATTTCTCTCCAATTCAAGTGTAGCTGCAACAATGATCAAAGCTAAAAAAGAGGAATTTATACATTAAAATACAAAGTTTAAATTATTACTTTTAAAGTAAGAAAAGTTTTAACCTATTTTTTAGTTTTTATTATAATAGAATCTTCCCTCTCCCCATTACAGGTTCCATTTTTCTCTGGCATAGGAATAGTTTGAGAGATGTTTTGGGTCTGCACTCGTTGCTTAAATAAAGCCATTTAGTGTGATTTATTAGTTCCTAACCCTGGCTAATACATATGAGTTATCTGGGAGCTTTTAAGAAATATTCAAGTTGGCTGGGCGTGGTGGTTTATGCCTGTAATCCCAGCACTTTGGGAAGCCAGGGCAGGCAGAACACGAGGTCAAGAGATTGAGACCATGCTGGCCAACATGGTGAAACCCCGTCTCTACTAAAAATACAAAAATTAGCTGGGTATGGTGGCGTGCATCTGTAGTCCCAGCTACTCAGGAGGCTGAGGCAGGAGAATTGCTTGAACCTGAGAGGCGGAGGTTACAGTGAGCCAAGATGGCGCCACTGCACTCCAGCCTGGCAACACAGTGAGATTCTGTCTTTAAAAAAAAAAATCAAAGTTTTTTCATAGTGTAAGAAGCATGCTCACCCATCCAAACCCAAAGAATGAACTTGGAGGCACAAAGAACAGTGAAAGTCAGACTTTTAATAGCAGTCTTGTAAGGCCGTGTGTCTGGTAGGCAGGTACACCCAGGGCAGTTATAATAGGTAATTTATCTCCTAGCGTGCAAGTCCCTACCTCGGTTCCTCATTGGTCAAGGACTACAGGGTTACGATCTTCCCGGAAGTCGCCTGAGTTGCATTATCCCCTTAGAAGGTTATACCCTGGTCCCTTCCCCACTTAAGTTTGGATTTCCCAGTAACGAAACTGTCTTCCCTTTTATGGGCTGACTTCTCCTTTACATCCTGTTTGCTTATTGTGATCTTCTAGGTGGATGAGCCATGCGGTTTGTTACATTCACAGGCTAGCTGCCAGTGCTTAGATTTATCATGCCTTGAAAAAGCCATTTAAAATGTTTTCTCACACATAGAAAGTCACATCTCTGGATGCGACAAGACAGTTCTTTTCCTTTCCTTCCCTTTCTTTTTCCCTTACCTTTTTTTTTTTTCTGTCTTTGAGACAGAGTCTCACTCTGTTGCCCAGGCTGGAGTGCAGTGGTGTGATCTTGGCTTGCTGCAACCTCTGCCTCCCAGGTTCAAGCAATTCTGCCTCCGCCTCCTGAGTAGCTGGGATTACAGGCATGCACCACCACACCTGGCTAATTTTTGTATTTTTAGTAGAGACGGGGTTTCACCATGTTGG